AAAAAAAAAAAAAAAAAAAGAAAGGACTTAAGGGTAATTCAAACAATATAAAGCAACTCCACTGTAGGGAAGTCTGGCTGTAAAAGAGTGCAAGCAGTCTCTATGTATGAGTTTAATGGTTCTTAATTATATCGTAGTTTTTATACTAAAGACATAGCTATAAAAATTCATAAAATTCAGTTGACTTGTTTCTAAAAGGATGTAAAACCATGCACTTAATTCATTTTGTAATAGTTTGCAATTAAAGATGTTTGTCAGGTTACTGCTATGTATTCTTTAGATTTCTATAAATTTTGCCCAATTCCTCACATAATACAACATAGTCTATTTGCTCCCTGCACCTAATAAGGGTGACATGGGGGATAGAAAGGAAATATGCTAATTAATTCTTTGTGCCCTGCTTCATGCTGATTTCAGAGATATATTTCAAAAAGGGAACAAGGGATGTGTGTCATGTTGGTCTTGTTTAGTAAACTGAACGCCCTGAAGATGAGGACTGTCTTGGTTGAGTATCTCCAGCATTTTACCACTTACCACACTATCTACTTGTGCTATGGTTAGGGATGATTAAAGGAGTTGGACATAGTTAACCTGAAAAACTTATTTAGAGAAGTCACTGAATGTTAGATAAACGTTTGTGAGTAGAATCACCAAACCGTTTTGTATTTTCTAGGATCTCTGGTTTTGCAAAAGCAGATTTTTCTTAACAGTAGTGCCACATTTGTGCTTTCACTCAAAACAATTTTAAACCCATATAAAGTATCTCAGCAGGTATTTTCAGGCACTGGGCAAGAATAGACAAGATCTTGAAAGCCACAATTGATCATCTTAGGGACCTGCTTTGGGGTATCTTCCAGCATTATCATGGGGAGGTGAGTCCAAGCAGAGTGGCAGTTCTGCTGAGCAGATGAAGCTGAGGCTGGTTTACTGAAGCAAATGGAATTTATAAGTCAGAGTTCAAGAGAAAAGAGAACTTTGGGAGGGAGGCAGAAGTTTGCATGGGTACTTGTCAAGGGTACGTGTTTGAGGGCTGGGAGGGGCACATACAGGACAAGGATCTGCAAGACCCAGCAAAACATTACTTGCTCTGAGATTTGAACAGTGATACCAGATGTTATTTAATACTGGGAATCCTTGGAGTTTCAGCCAGAGTGGAGAAATCTCACAGAACACTCAGGCATTTAGTTACTACTCAAGAAATGTGACATAATCTTAGGAGTTGGGAGGATACTTAACCATAGAGGTTGGCAAATGTTTTCTTAAACAGCTAGACAGTATTGGCTTGTAAGCCATATTGCTATTACTGAATGTTTATGACCCCCCCAACCTGGAGAGCTTCCCTGCCCCCACCACCATGTGAGGACAATGTAAGAACCTGGCTATCTTTGAAGCAGGAAGTGGGCCCTCACCAGATTCCGAATATGCTGATGCCCTGATCTTGGACTTCCCAGCCTCCAAAACTGTACAAGATAACTTTATGTTGTTCACAGACACCTAGTTTATGGCATTTTGTTATAGTGGCCTGAATGGACTAAGGCACACATGGTCCACTTCAGAACTATTCAGCTCTGCTGCTGCAGCACAGAAGTAGCCACAGACAATATATAAACAAATGGGCATGGCTGTATTTCAATATAAATTCAGTTATAAGACAGGCAGCCAGCCAATGAACCATATTCTAAGTTCCAATAGAAATACTCGCACTCCAACAAAAGATAAAACAATACCATTCAAAGGAAAATAATATAATCCAGACTATCTACACAGTATTCACAATATCTATCATTAAATTTAAATAATTAGCCACTTACGGTGCATAATGCAAGGGTACATGTCAGATCTATTAGTATAGGGTATAAAAGTATAAATGTCTTAACAAATAATTAAGTAAATAAGAAGAGGTAAATACCAGTGTGACGTAAGTGTTCCTAATTCTATATGAAACCAGCACATTGTATCCCATAAATGCATTAATGTATACATGATCTATGTGTTTATGATTTAATAAAAAAAATTAGCCATATAAAAAAATTGTGAGCCAAAATCAAGAAAAAAATCCCAATTGTTAGAAACATCCCCCAATAACCCAGAATTTCTTAAGAGAACTTAATAAAACGTTAAGGCAGCTATATACATATACAAGAACATAAAGGAAAAAACAATTATAGTGAACAAATAAAGAATCTCAGAGAAATGGAAACTGTAAAATAAAAATGGAAACTTGAGAACTAAAATGTACCATATCAGAATGAAAAATTCATTATGTAGGCCAGGCATCCTCAAACTATGGCCCAGGGCCACACACAGCCCGCCAAGGACATTTATCCGGCCCGCCGGGTGTTTTTGCCACAGCTGCCTGTCCTGCTTAGCAGCCGACTCGTCCTGGGGCCCGCAGTCTGGCCCTCCAACGGTCTGAAGGACAGTGAACAGGCCCCCCGTTTAAAAAGTTTGAGGACCCTTGATTGTAGGCTATTGAATTTTGCAAATGAAAAATTAGCAAATTTATACATAAATCTATACATTTACCTAATCTGAAAAATGGGAGGGGAGAAAGGTTTTTAAAAACTGAACAGAGTAACCACTAAAAAGGCAATGCAAATATGACTTACAGTGAGGAATTTGATACATTTAACCCAGAAGACAGGAAAGGAGGAAAAGGGGTGGGTGAGGGAGAAAATGAGATGATTAGAAACAAATAGCAAAATGTCTACCTTCTATATAAGAAAATTATTCAAAAGAAAATGGAGTAAATACAACTGAAAGGGCAGAGATGATCAGAGTGGTTAAAAAACACGATCCAAACCACACAAATAATAGTCAACTAATCTTTGGCAAAAGCAATATAACAGAGGAAAGACAGTCTTTTCAATAATTAATTCTGGAACAACTAAATATCTACACCACCCCCAGCCCCCATCTAGACACAGATCTCACACCCTTCACAAAAATTAACTCAAAGTGGAACACAGACCTATATATAAAACACAAACTGTAGCATGCCTAGAAGATAACAGAAAATCTAGATGACCTTGGGTTGTCAATGACTTTTTGGATTCCACACCTAAGGCATGATCTATGAAAGGAATAATTGATAAGTTGGACTTCACTACAATTTAAAACTTCTGCTTAAGACATGGTCAAGAAACTGAGAAGACAAGCTCAGGGTTGTCTCAGGGTTGGGGAGTGTGAAAGCCTATTTCATAAAAGATTTGTTACCTAAAGTATACAAAACTCTCAAAGCCAACAATAAGAATATGAACAATTTAATTTTTAAAATGGGCAAAAGATCCAAACATATACCTCATCAAAGAAGATATACAGTTGGCAAATAGGCATATGCA